ATGCAAATTAGTTTTAGTCAAAATAAGTTACTGCTTAGAAGTACCATTACTGTGTTCAAATTTCATTTCACTCGGCAAATATATTCATGTACCCAAACGTAAAGTATCGTACTTCTAAATATTGTTTATTTCTGCTATGTTTCGAAAAACGCTACTCTTGAACGGACTACTTTATTCGCTCTCAGACCTCATTTGCATATGGGGTGTGGAAGTACCGATTTTGATTTCAGGGACGAATCAAAATAAACTGCAGTATATATGTAATAATGTGGAATACTTCCTTTCACTGTGAACATTTTTCCGCTAAAATAAATTCCAGTGAAAATGCCATTTCCCTCATACTCTATTGAGACTTGACACAACACAGTGAAAATTTGATTCACACCGTATGCTTGAAAACTTTTCATCGAAAATAAATTATTAAAGTGAAATTCTGTGTGATTTCATGAGAGTTGAAAATGAAAAAATTATATGACACCCAACCCTACCACTCCATACACAATGTAACCACACCTCAAAAACATCCTTTCACCAGTGTATTCTATTTGAATTCAGGAGAAATTTAAATAAACAAATTATATGACAACGAACTTAAAGGGGAACCGCTCAATCCCATGGATTGCACCAAAGAATCATGGGACACTACTGTTTATGTTGTTTACAATGTTAATCTATCTTTTGTTATCCATTGTTATTTTAATCCAGAAAGTAAATTTGTTGTGAAATTAATCTTAACTGGAAGGTGCCCCTTTAATTATAATTTCAACCTCTAGTTCAGCACTGATTAAATAAACTACCTCGTCTTTATGCCAACTTGAAGTTATTCAATGCCTACACCAGTGACTTCAAAATCTATGTTTCAATTCCAGGAATTTCACTTGCTATTAATTGTATGGGAGTGCCAGTCTTTTATTTTCTATTGTAATGTCAATTTCTTGTGATTACTCGGAAAATGAAGCTGTAACCACAGACCACAGTGCTGCAACTAAATCCTGGTATAAGCACCGGTTAGGCAGTCTTGAACTATGCATGTGAAGCCAGCTGAGAGGTATATCCAATTCTATAGATTTCTCATTGTTTGGTAACTATTTGCTGCAAATGCAACAAAAATCAATATAAAAATATTACCCACACAGCATTCTACAGGTTACTTGTATTAGTTTTAGTTAGTTTTATTAATTAAAATACGAGTAATGTTTACTAATTTGAATGTCAGAAAACTATGGTGATTTGCATACGAATATAAATGAAAACATTGCATTCATATGCAATACATGCACAAAAGCTTTCTTGGGAATCGCACATGTTTTAATATGTAAATTACAGTTTACAAACTCTTGTGACAGTACAAAAGATAAACGTTTGATTACAATTCGAAAATGGCATTTATGTCAGGTAAAATTGTAGTTTAGGTTGATATCGACTTTCCCGCGTTTTTGAACGGCTCATTGGCGTTTATATAGTTTTGTGGCTGCAGGCCATAACGATAATCAACGACAACATTGTCATTTAATTCACCTCACCAACACAGCTATATGCGTAGGGTTATAAACTCTCCAACGAGTTTTTCAACACAACTAGACACTAGACAACTTAACTAGACACTCAACGTAACACAGCCATAATGATAATTCCTTTGCTGCTATTACATGACACACTGGGAACGGATAGAATATTTCGTTGCTAGGCACTCAATCTTGTTTAGTATGCTCGTTATTATTATTTTTGTTTGTGTTATGTGAGATGTTTCTATTTCAGGAAAATTGCTCCCCCGTATCTTGTTAGGTTACAGTCCTCAGAACCATTATGTGAAAAGTTGATTTTAAAATTGTCCCTTTTTCGTTGTTATTGAAAGGGCTCCCGTGGGCTTACAACTCTAAACTTCATTATTGTGTATAGAATGTTGAAAACCTCACAAAGCCGAAGCCTACGAGAGCCCATACAATTACATGTACCTGCATTAACGGGTGATTGCATTTCTCCGAATTTCAGGATCAGTCAATGAGTTGAGTTATGCAAGTATTCACAGTTCGTTGAATTATCGTGTCATACCAACAAAGCACTCACAAGTGAAAATACAACTGTCATCAATTCGGCGAAGTTGGATTGAGTTTGGCTTCGTCTACTGCGCCGTATTTCAATAGATCACACATTGTTTTTGTATAATAGCCCGTCCCAAGGTGTAAGGACGAGTCAACCTGTTCACTAATGTGTTGCTTAATTGGTCTGGGCACAGTCCCTCCATCACCAGTCTTGAAACGCCATTGTCTTAGGGGGGGGGGGGGTTAGCAACTGTGGTCTGGAGAAAACGGTGCAATATCTCGACACGTCTCTAAACTACATTTGTATCAACGAAGTATATCCCGATCAAGCCGGGGGTGGTCGGTCTCAATTAAAGATAAATGAACACGTCCTCCTTGCAACCCTTAGAAACCAGCAGCTGTGCAAAGAAACCAATCCCAACGCATTAGTTTCTGTGCATGGTGACGATGGTGATACAATGTTATCGAACATCGTATATGTACACGTGCATGGTTGGTATGACCACACTACTGGGATACTAATGTCATGGGTTTTACTGACAGCTCATTTGTAGAAATGAGTAGACGTGGATCACGGGTACTATAGTAACTGTCCTTGAATCACTGCGTCATCAAACCCCGTTCTGGTTTGCGTAAATATGATTTTTTTTGTTCGCGAGTAATGTAGTTATTTTTTTGCGAATGATGCGGTATGTCCAAACTGTATTGGAATCGAATCTCCCTGTAAATACTAAGGCCACACGATAACTCGTGTATCGTGCCACTGTATTAGGGTGAGACTGCTTGGTTACGTATATAGAGTCATGGTAGTTATGGCGCCTGGAATTATTATATATGACTGACAGGGGAATGATAGTTTAATAGGAAAGCTTTCCCGCTAAATTTGGAACGCACATGGGGTAGTAACTGCATACAGAGTGAACCCCCGGGGGACCTAAGCTAATGTGTGCATGAAATGAGACAAACACTGCTTGCGTAGTGACCTCAGTCAACTGGTGCACGATAGATAATAAAATAAATGCGATATTTACTACATGGGACCGCCATCTTGAATGTGGCAGTGCCGTACAGAAAGTCCAATGTCTGGTGTTGTGTCATAGCAGTTCTCTGGCGGCGTGACCTTTGATATGACTAATTGTTTCATTTAAAGGGTAGCAGTCGTGGTGCTGCGTCCTGTTTGATATGGGACTCATAGCGACGTATACAACGCGTGTAAAATACATTGTTTATTTACATGAAATTCGAACACGCGCTGCGCGACGACTACCGCGCTTTAACCATGATCTGTTGAAATTGGTCAATTCAAATCGTCGTCAAATTACATCATGTCATATCATTAGCGCTATCGAAAGTGCCTCCGTCATCAATTCTACGAATTGTTTATGACTGTGTTTATTTTTCCTAGTACCTGTGCCACACTTCAATAGGGACACGTATTCACATTGTTTAATAATATGTCCCAGGTTTCAAGGACGTATCGCCATGCCATTCTTGGTTTGGTTGAGTGGTCTGAGTTTAAAATCGAAAAAAAATATAGATAAACCAACCACGACAGAAACTTAATAACATAATCTGTTCATATGTACATATATGTTAAATTTTAGATGTCGTTCACACGGGTTCGCTGTCTTACTCCATATACACATTCAACATACAGAGACAGACGGGACTACATTACATAACATAACACAGTTGCTATACATAGTGTTATTGCCAGGCCTATTTGCACACTTGTTTGTCACGAAGTGGTCACCGAAAGTTCAACCACCGGGCATCATCTCTAACCCTGGATGTGTGTCACAATAACACATTCATTAGTTTAGTAGGTACATACACAAGGCACAATACAATGAAAAAAAAGCTAATAGTTAAACAAGCTGCTAACCCGGATTGTTCGCCAGGTGTTATGTACAGGTCCCGGAGCTTCCATGTTCGGGGATCTGGAAACTTCGTCTCGCTTAGCTGATAATAGCTACACGTTGAGATACCAGATTCGACCCAAATGAATACATGTTAGTTCATTACAGATAGTCCAGCTTTATTCGTCCCATTTCTCTCCTTCCCTCTCTCTTCTTTCCCTCTTTCTCTCCTCTCTCTCTCTCTTACAAAAGGTTACCAACTCTATCTTAAATAAAAGTTTCTAAGGCGTGGCAGAGTAAACATCGACCAACTAATCGCTGCAGTCGTTGGTACGATCACGTGATTACCAGGGATGCGTCTCACGGTTAAAGCATTGTGAAGTTGCCACTACCTTGTATACAAATTTTTATCATTTTTATCATTTTTTGTTCAAAACTAATTTCGGTATAAAAAAAAGTATTCGCAATTGTAGTTTCAATATTTTTTCTTCGCGTTATGTTTCATTACTTTCATGTAGTTATTTTTCTTTTACTAATATATGATTTGTAACCATTTTCATCCCCTTCGGGGGAAGTTAATAAATAAATAAATGGCCACAAATCAGACATATGCCTGATTTAAACAAGGTGCCACGATACATAGCACAGCAAATTCTTCGTCTTCGAATTTCACGTTATATGTGACAGTTATTACAAACTTCCTTGACGTGGACTTGAAACGTCAAGTTATAGCAGTACTTGCAATTTTTTGACATGGAGACAAAGTTCAATCAATGTCACAGTGTTTGCAAAAAAAAAATAACTTAGTATGTTGCCAACAACATTTTTCTGTCACGCCGGCGTTGTGTTGTGAATAACGCCATCTACAGATAGAGTTATAGTCGTTGTCTGAGGGCGCAAGTCAAAATAGATTAGTTACAGTTTGACCCAACGCCAGTCTGTTTTTTTTAAATCCTTGGATATATCTGATTTATTGGATAGTTTCAGCCTCATGAATATATATGGACATGTATATTAGTAAACGTATGCCTATCGACAGTAGTATTACTAAGACAATTAATAATAATCATTTTATTATATTATAAAATTATTAATTTTTGGTAATAATATGGCATGTGGACACGTACGCCTGTGATGTATCCTCGAGCACATCAGAGCAAGGAATAGCAGCAACACTAAGTTTGACGAAACTTGATAAATATTGGGAGAGATCGGAATGTATTTCAGATGTTGATTTCTTTCTGCAAGCAAGTTAATGTTAGTCAGCTGAATATAGCAATGATTAGATCTTGTGATCATTCAAAGTGGCTGCATCAAATGGTTCCATGCTATTATCTAATGAGTTACTTAGATCATTAATGAATAAATAGAATTACACACCATTATTTAACACTTTCTTAAAATTTAATATCTCTGTTCTTTTATTATTGGTGTCACTGTGTTATATAGTGTGCCATTTAAACCGGCTTTTAACATTTCCTGATAGATGACAAGTGGCGTACTGTATTTCATGTTACCCACAAGTCTTCTAGTATCAGAGTTATTTGAGTGCTTTAATCAGGTGTTCACCAGGGTTGATATTTCTATTATAAATGTAGAACAAGTTGTCTTTCTTAATGACAATAATTTTAGTGCTCTGTTCAGGTTATTGATTTGTTGGTATATATTCACAACTTCTATATTGTTGCTTTGTTTTTCAGCGTTGGCGAGCTTGCTGTTAACTGTGATATCTTTGTTGGCGTGCATCTCTTCAATTGTTTCATGGCAGCTCTATGAGCAACTCTTGCCTGTGGTGCATTTGTCTCTTCCACTGTTATTTTGTTTTGCATTTTCCTGTAATAGGTGATTCTTGCATATGTATACTTATACCCAAGTTAAAACACTCCTATTTTGAACAGCAGCACAGTGAGGTGAGCATATGACACCAACAGCTAGACCATCAAAGATAAATAAAATAAAATAAAAGTTTAAATGACAACCTAGAATATGAAATTCTGTGAAAACGTTTTAGGGAGTCAAAAGAAAAAAAAACAAATATCGCATCACAAGGTGAATGTGGTCGATACCCAAACAGGACTAATCAGTAATGTATTCTCATACTGGGCAAGAATACAACAAGTTCCAAAACTAACCAGGATAGCCTTAAACATGAAACTGAACTAAATGAACAACGGACAAATCACATTCTTACCATTTATTAAACAATAGCCAGAAACATTTCAATGTCAAATGCTCTGGAAGGGTAGTGATATGACACCAAAACAATAAATTTTAACATAATCTAAAATGAATTGCAAACTCTAAAATTCTGGGAGCAATTGACCAATACATAATGAATTGCTCAAATGCAAAGATTTCAACATATAAAACATATTTCTTTTACAAAATTAGCTTTACAAAGACAAACTTAGTCAATTATGCAAATGCATATACTTATTAAATGCTTCAGACACTAACCTTGTAATACATTGTATTTGATCATATAGGGTTAAGTTGAGTAAAGCTTTATTGCTCAGAATTCCTTGTCTTGTTTTACTGTATTTTTCCTGAAGTTTGGCTGGTTTAAAGTCAATCCTGCATACCTTATTGTGCTGCTTTTCATTGGATATATAGCAATTTCCGGACGTATTTACTGACATCTCAAAACAACATAATAAATAGATAAGCATACAACTTTCATTTTAATACAGCGTGCATTTGGACTATGTATAAAATATGTCATGCAAATTAGGTTACACATATATCATTGGCTGTGAATGAGTGTGGGCAGCTGTTTGTATATAGTATGGTATGACCTAAGGAGAAAGCAGAGAGTTCGAGGTCACTGTACTGGGTCACACACTTACACACATACGGACATACACTAACTCGGGTCACAATAAATACCTGCATAGTCTGAAGTCGTCTTCTGAATTGACGAAAATTAGTCGCATTTCCATCAAGATGAGTTCCCCTGAAGTAAGTAATAACGTGTTAATTTCGTTGTCGCTATCTACCCGTCAGTCAGGTTGTGGTCTCGACGATCTCGATTAAAAGAATTCATCATGTGAATTTTTTCAAGGTTTCACCCAGGCAGCACAGTTCACTGTTCATTATCGTACATTCTATGTCCGGGTGTATAGGAATTAAAGGGTCGTCGTGCAGCGTCCTGTTCGATATGGGACTCATAGTGACGTAAACAACGTGTGTAAAATACATTGTATATTTACGTGAAATTCGAACACGCACTGCGCGACGACCACCGCCCTTTTAACAGTAACGTATATCTATACTGTCATATAATTGTGACTACAGTGGTAACGGTTGGTTTTATAACAGATTCACTGTTCGCACCACGTTGACAGTTGTGGTGGCTATGGCGCATGTACTCTATGTCAGTCTAACACACTGTATAAGCAATGTATTGCAGAGGTCCATGACACCCTATAATTAACATGATAAAACAGATGCGCAGACAAGTGATAATATATGAGCCATAGAATAACTTATAATAATATCATGCATTTCTTGCGCATGAAATAAGTACAAATGTACTTAACAATCTGTCATGCAAATCATCTCATATCTTCGCCAGCCAAGGTTCGTTTATTTAGCCATCGTCTCACGTTAACACCGAGCTAGCGAAACCGTGCGATTTGGACGATGATCATGTCTATCAACCACAAATGACAGAATGCAGAAAGTCATGTAACTTTAGTTTGAGAAAACCTAAACATTAATATTAGCAGACCACATTTAAACTCATGTTTTCTGGAAGTTTTGTTTATACTGCGTTTGAATGAGAAATCAACATTTCAAGATTGGATGCGTATGTCATAATAGCTGTTAGAAAGATCAGTTATGTTATCGCACAATGAATTATGCAAAACATATAAATATCACACCAACATATATATAGTGCATATACATGTATATAGTGTATTAATCGCATTCATGATCCCTGACACCCAAACAAATATACAGACTGAGTGTCCTTATCACAGCAACAAATATACAGTGTCCATATCACACCAACAAATATAGTGTCCATATCACACTGACAAATATACAGTGTCCCTATCACACCAACAAATATAGTGTCCATATCACACTGACAAATATACAGTGTCCCTATCACACCAACAAATATACAGTGTCCATATCACACCAACAAATATACTAACAGTGTCACTATCACACTAACAAATATAGTGTCCCTATCACACCAACAAATATACAGTGTCCATATCACACCAACAAATATACAGTGTCCCTATCACACTAACAAATATACAGTGTCCCTATCACACTAACAAATATACAGTGTCCCTATCACACTAACAAATATACAGTGTCCTTATCACACTAACAAATATACAGTGTCCATATCATACCAACAAATATACAGTGTCCCTATCACACCAACAAATATACAGTGTCCCTATCACACTAACAAATATACAGTGTCCCTATCACACTAACAAATATACAGTGTCCCTATCACACCAACAAATATACAGTGTCCCTATCACACCAACAAATATACAGTGTCCATATCACACCAACAAATATACAGTGTCCCTATCACACTAACAAATATACAGTGTTCCTATTGCATCAATATTTTCAAATGTGATTGTCATGAGTTATATACTAGTGTTATATTTGATTATATTTTCTTCTAAAGAGTGAATTGCCTAACACCACTACTGATGAAGCTGAGTTATATTCAGTCGAAGGGAAATATGGTTGGAAAAGCATGGATACAAATGATAAATGGGTGTTATTAGCAATTACTATCTGTGGCGTTGTGGTAATAGCAGTGACCTTGGCGTTTACTGGTAAGGCTATGGGGATTACAGCAGTTACTGTTGAGGGTTAATTTATTGTAAGAAATGTGAAGATGTAGACTGCAGTATTTTCAGTCGTATAATTTATCTCTTTTAAAGATATACAATGGTAAAAGGTACATGTAAAAGAAATGAAATGTTCGAACATGTGTCTGTCTTCATTCTGTCTGGAGATTATTAATATCTTTATGGTGATTCATAATTGTGTTATTGGTTTAATTATCATTTGTATCATTTCGTTTTATCTCTATCTCAGTGGAATGGTGAACACCGGCATAAATGGACTGATACAGAACACCAGAACCTTTGATTTATATCTTCAAGTATTTCAGTGGAAGGAAACAAAACAAATATTGGACGATAGGAAAGTTACAATCTGCCAGGGAATCTCTTCATCTAGAATTGGATAACCCAATCTCAATGGCTGTATTCAGTTCACGAGTCATTCCGAACTAGAAGCACTTGGATTTATATTAGGGTTGTATTTTATTTAAACCCAAAGTCATTTATGTTTCTTTTTTTCAGGGCTAGTGATTTGTATTCTTCCATCTTTGGTGTAATGTAATTGTTTTAACACATCCACAATGAAATGCAACATAACTTTGCGTTGTATTAATTCACAACATGAATTCAGGAATTAAGGCCAAAAATAGTTTGCGTCTTGTCCTAGGGACAATTAATGCGCTGACGCGGTTCTATTTTTTATTCATTTATTTTATTTCATTTCCATTTTATTCTTTTGGTGTCTTTATACTTTTTGCTTTGCCCTTCAACGGAAGTTTAATAGTAAAAAACAAGAATTGCTTTGTAATATAGGTAGCGGACAGATAACAATTTAAAAACAAAAAAAGATTGGAGTATAAAACAGCAATCCTAGTCTAGTATAATGAAAGGTATAATAGTATAGATGGACATATATTATATATATGGAGTGCAACAATTTGTGTAAAAGTAAACAAATAAATCAAGAACAATGGGTACAAAGGGACAAATATAGTCTTGCGATGAATATAACATATTACTTTTAGTGCAAAAACAAACTTAGGGTTATTTAATACCACAACCGGAACAAAAGCAACATATATGTTCGACGTTTTACAATTATTAAATAATGTTTTTGAATACTAATATTAAAGGTTGATTTTGATAAAAAGAAAAAAGAAACCTGCTGCATAACCAATGTACAATTAGTTTGTAACAAGCTGAACATAATCTTTTTCCCTGTGACTTTTACACCGTACACCGAGAAATAAACGATAATCTTTAATAAAAAATGTCGTTCGAGTCTGTTGTAGTAGTGTATCACCAAACGTGTGAAGAAGTACGGGACATCTGTGGTAAAAACGCCGCGGATAGAAGCATACGTGGTAAAGTAAAGGACATCCTGTTACCGTTACTTGACAATGCAGCGCCCTCCATTGACGTTGCAACTCCAAATGAGAGTCAATGTCGAAACAGATCTACACATATTTGAAGAGAACAACGTACATAATCCTAGGGATTATATGGCTTGATATTTTAATACAGCATTACTGTATTATATATACACTTTTATATTTTAGAGATGGTGGGTCAAATTGTGATCTCCATATTTAGGAAATTGTAAATTAAACCTGTATTCATAACTTTCAAATATGCATTTTGTAACGTATGTGATAAGCAGAATAGTGCATATGATTAGTTGACATGATATAATTTCGGCCTTGTGTCACACAGGATGTAAATGAAATAAATATAGCAATCTGTCATGCAAATCTTTATAACATATGTCATTTTTTGTGACTATGTGCGTCTCTGGCAACTTTTTAGTTCTCAGAACTGTGCATAATGTAACGTTTGTCATCGGCAGGAAGTTAAGAGTTCGAGGTCACTGAACTCAGGTCTGAACTACGTCACAAATACGTAAGTACCCGTTTGAATCATAACAAATATCAGCAGAGTTTGAAGTCGTACGTCGTCTGAATTGGTGAAGATTTGGTACGTCGTCTGAATTGGTGAAGATTTGTCGTATTTCTAACAAGATGAGTGACGTGAGTTAATTTCGTTGTTATTGATTACCTCCCCCGTTGGTAAGATCGTGGTATGACATTCCCGATAATCTGGATCTTAAATGCTTTATCACGTGAATTTTTACCCAGGATGAAAGTTTATTAACGATGTCCGGGATATATTAGAATATGGTAACATATATATTACCAACATTATAATGATACGATCTACAAATGCGTTGATACGATTCATATTGGCATAAAGGGTCGACCATTTGAAATCATAGGGGTGGCTGTAATATTTGTTGAAAGCAAATTGCTAGCTATAAACCAAAGTGTTCCAGGAATAATTGTTGGCAAAATTCAAGAAAAAATCAAAATATACAGACACCGCGAAAACAGTGTAATGGCCACACTCTTCTAACACCCCTATGATTTCAAATGTATGTTCCCTAACATGAAGTACAGTACTCGAAACTTGCGTTATTGAAATTTTGTTAAATGCTGTGTATGCTTATATTAGACACGCATACGACGCCATATTACACATCAATAGTTATTAGAACGGCGTCTGTACGATAATTGTTGATCAGCAAATCAATATTAGTATACCCACATTACACCCCGACTTCCTGTTAGAGGCCTACCACTCAACACATTGGGCCACTTTTTAAAAAACGTTGCAGCTTACACTTTTAGTCAATCGTATCAAACGATTCATGGCGAATGTGCGGCCACTCGTTGGCATGCATAAATCATTATGCAAAAACCTATACACATATCACACCAATATTTACAAGAAATTAATTAAATTATATATTATTTGTTCCTATACAGTGCGACTTCTCTACTGACTATAGCCAAGGAGATCTGAGATTTGAAAAGTATAGCAATGATGGCCCGACCACCTGTAATAAATGGATGATATTAGGAGGTGTTATCTCTGTGCTGACAGTGATAATAATAATTGTGGCAGTTAAGAGTAAGGATCATTATACAGGGTCAAAACAAGGGACTATATGTGGGTTTATTGTAGTAGCTATGCCAGGCAGTTATTGGTAAGGATCTAAAGGGATTATATGTGGGCTTATTGTAGTAACTATACCTAGCAGTTACTGGTTAGGGTTTAAAGGGATTATATGTGGGCTTATTGTAGTAGCTATACCTAGCAGTTACTCATAAGGGTCAAAAGGGATTATATGTGGGCTTATTGTAGTTGCTATACCAGACAGTTATTGGTAAGGGTCTAAAGGGATTATATGTGGGCTTATTGTAGTTGCTATACCAGACAGTTATTGGTAAGGGTCTAAAGGGATTATATGTGGGCTTATTGTAGTAACTATATCTAGCAGTTAATGGTAAGGGTTTAAAGGGATTATATGTGGGCTTATTGTAGTAGCTATACCAGGCAGTTATTGGTAAGGGTCTAAAGGGGTTATATGTGGGCTTATTGTAGTAGCTATACCTAGCAGTTACTGGTAAGGGTCTAAAGGGATTATATGTGGGCTTATTGTAGTAGCTATACCTGACAGTTATTGGTAAGGGTCTAAAGGGATTATATGTGGGCTTATTGTAGTTGCTATACCAGACAGTTATTGGTAAGGGTCTAAAGGGATTATATGTGGGCTTATTGTAGTAGCTATGCCAGGCAGTTATTGGTAAGGGTCTAAAGGGATTATATGTGGATTTATTGTAGTAGCTATGCCAGGCAGTTATTGGTAAGGGTCCAAAGGGATTATATGTGGGCTTATTGTAGTAGCTATACCAGGCAGTTATTGGTAAGGGTTTAAAGGGATTATATGTGGGCTTATTGTAGTAGCTATACCTGGCAGTTATTGGTAAGGGTCTAAAGGGATTATATGTGGGCTTATTGTAGTAGCTATGCCAGGCAGTTATTGGTAAGGGTCTAAAGGGATTATATGTGGACTTATTGTAGTAGCTATACCTGGCAGTTATTGGTAAGGGTCTAAAGGGATTATATGTGGGCTTATTGTAGTAGCTATACCTAGCAGTTATTGGTAAGGGTCTAAAAGGATTATATGTGGGCTTATTGTAGTAGCTATACCTTGCAGTTACTGGTAAGGGTCTAAAGGGATTATATGTGGGCTTATTGTAGTAGCTATACCTGGCAGTTATTGGTAAGGGTCCAAAGGGATTATATGTGGGCTTATTGTAGTAACTATACCTGGCAGTTATTGGTAAGGGTCCAAAGGGATTATATGTGGGCTTATTGTAGTAGCTATACCAGGTAGTTATTGGTAAGGGTCTAAAGGGATTATATGTGGACTTATTGTAGTAGCTATACCTGGCAGTTATTGGTAAGGGTCCAAAGGGATTATATGTGGGCTTATTGTAGTAGCTATACCTAGCAGTTATTGGTAAGGGTCTAAAGGGATTATATGTGGGCTTATTGTAGTAGCTATACCAGGTAGTTATTGGTAAGGGTCTAAAGGGATTATATGTGGACTTATTGTAGTAGCTATACCTGGCAGTTATTGGTAAGGGTCCAAAGT